GGAAATACCAGTTTAATATTACATTACGAAATTGGTGATTTTATTCAAAACTTAATTATCCTGGCTTTCTTGTTAACATACAACACCATCATACTAGCTAAATGGATTTCAAAAATGTGTTAACGATTTCGATCTGTACTGGGAGCTAAAAAGATAGAAAACCAAAATATTTGTATTTGGATCGCACACCCGTGGCTCTTTAAATATTTTTTTGGTAAACGAATTACATACCTAACATAATCGATATGTTTCGTATTAAGCCAGACAGGAAAATTGAAAAACAGCTCGCGATCATTACAAATATTTTATATAAATTTATATTTAACTTCAATCTACGCAATGATCCACAGACTAAACTGTTCGATGATACAATTTTACTATTTTAACATTTCCATGTAACATTTAGGGAATAGAGAACAAAACAGACAAAGGAAAGTCCACCTAGAATTCTTTATACAAAATTTCAAATTCAAAGAAAAGTGCCCAATGCTGATATTTTATAGAGAAAACCTATCCATTATATATCATTATTATTATTATTATTATTATTATTCGTAGTAAAATAATTAAGTTTTGGAACATAATTATTCATAGCGATCAACACACGCACTCAAGTATTATATACAAGATGCAGTTACATAGTGAATACCCATTTAGATGTACATAATATATCAAGAATGATTTTAATAATACTGGTCACTGATTATATGTTTACATAAATGAATCTTCCATATCTTCTAAAAACATACATGTCTTATTCTACATCAGTTTGTCACTTATCGGAACACAAAATTGTTCAAGAATGTAGCAAAGACAAACTCTTTTATCTCCTTAAACGGCAACACAAATGTAAAGAATATCTTACTATTTTACAAAACAAAATGTACTTACCACCACGGAAATGTCGTTCTTCCAATCATAGATTACCCCTAGAATTAGAATTACTCCGTTGTAGTAATACTCCATATAACGAAAGAATTTGCACAGAATACCGAACACTTGGCGATGGATATCATGCAACCATGTCATGCAAGTTATTTAGAAATAAAAGGAAACAATTAATCCATTAATACTGTTTTGAGAACCCATATGGTAATAAATATAATCACTTACTTAACAGTACACATTTTAAAACACTAATAGAGTTTTACTTTTGCTTCACATTGCCAGGAAATATTACGAGTATAACTGATTAAAATTGTTTATTCAACTTTATTAAAGTTATTGAGTATTCTCCGATACATCGTATCTACGAATTATATCATATTTAGCACAAACAACATTTGGCACGTTGACCATAGCAGTCGATGTCATTCCTTAACGCACCATGAACAGTAACCTAACAGTATTTAACAGCCAACGCGAAGGTATTTAATCATGCTTTTCCCGGGATATGATTCTCCCAATATACCTAACAATAAATGACGCACCCTACTTTAAACGTGTTTTACAAGCTACGATATACAAGTACATAATTTAATCATTAATAATATTATAATGATATTGTTGTTGTTTTCATGTTAAAACGAACGAAACATGTAGAAGTATTCGTAAAACTCGCATTTTTAAGTTGTTTCTTTCTTTCTTTATTTTATGTTTTAATGTAAAACAGTGAAGCTCTTTCTTCGCTGCTACCCATGTTAAATTGACTATACCTGTGTTTATTTTGTCGCTCTTGTAAAAGTTTTGATTAGAATTTAAAATACTATAAATTATATCAACCAAAGTTAACTAAAATGCTTTTGATAAATAGGCTCTATTCTGTTTGTTGTATGAGTTATGTTAAAAGCGTTACATGTTTTCAATAGTCTGTTGTCATGTTTATGTGACCATTGATGAAATAAAAGTATTTTTGTTCTTGTATAACGTAAATCTTTAAAACGAATTTATGATACAGCAAAGTGCCTTTTGAGAAAAATTGAAAGTATTTCATAAATTGACAACAGCCTAGTAAACCTCAGATGATCCAGTTCTTTTACATGTCAAGTTATCGTTTTAAATATCTGATATAAGCATCCATCTTGTAGCTTATTTAGTAACATAAAAAAGATGTAACTAAGTTATTGTCTTGAGTAAGTAGAGAAAGGTCTGCTAAAATATTTGATTTCAAGGAACGTTATTCTAAGTATGTATTTTCTTTATTACGTCTGAAAGTATTCACACTAGAGCTATTTCCGGCAAAATTCTTTTACAGAACTTCACCAAAACATTTGGCTTTTGACTCCTCCTTGCTAAAAACCAATTAATTGAATTATCGTAAAAAAGTTTGGCTGTACTTCTTGCATTCAAGGGACGTATTTCTATGTGTTTGTCTGTTTGTTAACATCTCTGAAAATTTCTATTTCTAGAAATAATTGAAAACGACAGGAAAAACATGCATAATGCTTATGACACGTAAATAGTTGTTCTCCATAAAAATTAGCATTAGCATGAGTATAAACGGTATTACATATAGCGCTTTACTGCCAACTATCTTAAGGTGTGTATGTTTTTTGCTTTGACATCGATTGTATCGTATTTGGGTTATATGGTCACAATTTTGGTTTAAATTCAAATTCACTAAACAGTAACACTCAAATTATCTTGACATTTTTCTTGTTCTTGTGGATAACATAACGTGTTCATTTTTGTTAAGATATTATGCATTCAATTTGATATGTTCCGCTTTGGTAATTAAAACGTGTAAAATGTAGCATTGAACAAAATAGCTGAATAAATTTTAATAATTTACTTTATGTTCAAAGATCCTACAACAATGTTCATATACTAGGCTAATCCATAGAATGATACATTTTGTTATAAACAAAGGTATTATGATGTAGGAAATAAAAATACACTGAATACATTGGTTCGTTCACTGTTGGAAACATTACGTGTATTCGTGTATTCTAAAAATTGTAACTAGTCATTATACGTTAATTTTGATATAATTCATGCCGTATCACTTTGTCTAGACGATTCTACATTGTATAAATGTAAAAATGACTACATGGAGAAAAATAAAAGAGCAGATTCATATTTTCTAGACTGTCATATATCAATTAATATACTATTTTATTGTTACGATTGTAAATTAACATTGTATTTACGATATTTTGTACATACATTGTACCGCACACCAGACACAATGAGGTTGAAAAATCTGTGCTAAGTACCTCATATTTGGATTAAGAAAATAGACTTTGATGTGGAGGTCTTTATAGAAAACTTAGTCAAGTTTCAATTCTGTATTGCTTGAAATAAAAAGCCCTTTTTAGCCAAATAAATTTTTGATTTGTTTTGTAAAACAATATACTTGTAGATTATTATAAGCAAAATTATCAAAATAGTATTTAAACAGTAACCGAATTATATTTGAATGCAGATAACATGAATTTATCATAAATGAATTGAAGGTTCGTAAGAAATGCATTTAGTCGTAAGTAAATTGTGAATAACAACGGGATGCAAATTGAAGTTAGCACAAAGCATGTTAAAAATGTAATAAAATTCGAAAACAAATTCAGAATATTATCTTTGAACATTAGGATTGTGACGTCGAGACAACATACAAGGAAAAATCAGTCACAATTACTTAAAATTGTTAAGAAAAGCATTAAATTTTGTTTGTTTTGTATGTATGCTCATGCCCTTACATTTCGTGTTCACTATGCAAAACAAATATAAATTCTCTATATCTTTATCAAACAAGTTCTTATGATGACTGAATCAATTGTTTAAACAGTAGTCTGAATAGTCTTCTAATATGTGCATAGTTTGGTCTTATTTATTCATTTTCTCTTGTTGAAATGACAGATGCATTTTCTTCACATAAAAATATTCTTTAACGTGTTTATATTAGGCCCTATTACTATTATTATCTGGATAAAACTACTTCTTTAACTAACTCTCGATATCTCCAAACCACGTAGAGTATTCAACAAATAAGAAGACATTAAATCTGACACTCAATTGTTTGTTTATTTGATAAAGAGTTATGGCAAACCTCTTATCTCTTTTACAAGCAATGTCGCAGCAGTTTCACATTTCAAACTAACAAGTGCAATATCTGCTTAAATGAGAACTTATGAACGTTATAATGACGTCGGAAATCTAAATTGCAACTAAATCGAACTTTCCGATCCGTTTCATCAATCTTCGGATAAGGACATGGAATGGATAACACAACGGTAACGGTACTTCGGTCTACCTATGGTACAAAACTTAATCATACAAACATGCTTAGTATATATTTGTCGATAAAAATTTACAAATGTTTACTTGTTGACGATATTTCTGATTAAGATTATTGTAATACATGTAGTACATCAATTGGCATTTAATTTATTAAATTGCTCCTGATCATCAAACATATTTTCCAATCAAAATTTTACGGAAATAAACTTTATTTGCCGTTTGATGTCAAATAAGTACATGTGTTACTCATGCCTTTTGTTTTACTTCAAATCTAAACTCACTTGTTAGAACTACTGTCAATCTGTATGAGCTCCGACATTATTATGATTAATCGGCGAGGGGTTCCAGATACAAAAATCTAATTTGATATTTCCTTCAGGAAATGGATGATGGGAGCACACTTAATTTGACTCGTGACTGAATGTAAATAACAAAATAATAATAAAGAAATTTTTTTTATTAAAATTCATATGGCAAAGTTACTTTACCAAAACGGGAATGACATACAACAATAAAATCTATATACAGTGTATGTAACCTTAACAATAAATAAAACAATTTACAAAGTAGTCATATTCAAAAAGAAAGAAAACAAAGATTTAAAATAGGAAATATAATTATTTTCCATCAATAAAAAAATACATGGCAGCATACAACAGTATCGTACAAAAATATTTTATTGTAATACAGTCGACTAGACATACATGTTTAATCAAACACTACTTCACTAATTCAGACAATAATTTGGGTTGATATGCATAAACAAAAAAGTGAAACCACTATATCTATTGGAGCAGTTTCATTTAAATTAGGCATCGATTCAAAGAAAGATTTTTTAAACTGGAAAAAATTAAATAGCAAAATCAATCGTTGAGGTAAAGATCAAGAGTAAGTTTTAATTTTAGAAAGATGGTTATACTAATTGCTAAATGTCATTTACTCTTAGTCTCATAGAGTCTTCTTGCCCTCATGCCTGACCCTATCTGTTAGTTTTTGGTCGGAGTTTGATTAAAATATACAGGAACAAAGGGTAAAATATTGGATCTTACATTCGTTGTCATTTTGTAGACATATATTAGTCTAGGCAATTGTTAGCGAGCTAGATAATATTTCAGGGAAGAATGTAAGTAAGTCAATATTATAAATAACAATAAAAATAAAATTCTACGTTAACACATGATACATCAAATTCCAAGAAAAGTCTTAACCAATCATGTGAAGTGCATTTTTCAAACTGTATTCGCCAGTTGACGTTCTTTCGGATAAGTGAGGTCCGGAAGTTTTTTTATATTGATGTTGGTTTATGAAAATATGAAGAAATAGACAAAATGAAAGCCTAAATATTTTAAGATCAGACATCAAGACAGAACTGTATGGAGAAGATGCAATGTCGATTATATATTGAAATATTACGTTTAAAATTAGTGACGTCATTTGATAACAAATGTGAAACCTAAATGATGTAATCATATCAGTCAACGATGGTAAAGTTTTCGTGAACATCACTTTTTTGACACAAACGTGTATGCTTACAGATAACTATCGAATTCGAGAAGAAATAGATCATAGAACTGTTACTCTTGTAAAATATCACGAAAAAGGTTGAACTGAAATTGGTTGGTACATTCGAGGTAGGGAATTAATGCAAGATAATAGCACCAACATTGTGGATAATTTTGTTGATTACGGAAAGAAAACTAAAAGTATCTGACGCACACACGTTTAATAATACCTTATATAAGACAATTTGAAAACGTAGGGGCAATATATCTTTAAAAAACGTTTGAAATACAGAGTACAAGAATTTCGATTTATACATTCTGATAGACGTATTAACTGCAGACGTTTACAGTGGCTGGGATTCACGGGAATGGGGCGTTGAAGGACTTAGACCATCACTTAAACAAGGTTCTAAACTATCTTTTCTAGAATTAGTAATTTCTGTTCTTTGGCCAACTGAGTTATTAAAGTGAAGACTCAATGTGGCATTCAACCGTTTTGAACTAGAATGTCCTTCCATATGGTAGCGTCTAATGGATCTCATGATTTGTGTTGCAACCTGTAAAATATGAAACTTAAATTAGAATCTGATTCTACATAACTTAATGCACTGTGAACGTGTTAACATCAATATATATCCATATTCTGTATCATTTTTTATAATTGCATTGAACTTAGCCACAAAAAATATGAATCTATGAAATATTCTTTTAGCTATTCATGTAAACATTTTCACCATTGCATTTGATTATTTAATCGACTGTATATGTTAATGGACGTAAAATCAATTGATCTTTTTTAAAGCAAATCAGTAATTTTTGTTTCATTTTTGTAATAGATTTTCATGCACACCAACAGGCCGTTTCAAATTTGTCAAGCTTAATTGGTCAATAAAGATCTCAGGTGCCCCCTCGGCACGTTTGAGCATCTAAGTAGAACTGCCGACCTTCCGTAAGCAAGCTGCCTCACACAAAAGAATGAAAAGTCTCTGGCAGGACTCGGATCCACAGCAAAGAGGGTCGACATATAATTATATTGAAAGGAAAAAAATGTAAGACATTTGCTTTTAAAAGATGATAACTTTTTACCTCTCCATTGAAAAAACAGAATATCAATGCTACAATAAGTCCCTGAAACAAAGATGGGCTTTCGTTAGATAATAACATTGTTAAAGACTTAGTCAGCATGTATGTCTTAGCAATAGCCAGGGAAAATAAAAGTTGATTTAAGTTTTTATTATTTGAACTTATTTAAGTTCATGATTATTTATTTAGTGTGTGGGGTCGAGCATGATGTAAATTTTAATGACTCGCCGGAGAAATTTCTCTCTGACAACTGATCGAGGGTATTGAGTCTTATGGTACCCTGTTCTACATCGCTGATTAAGAAAGCATGTATGATAAGTGGTTAGACACTTGTTGTAGAGAATTTGTATTTATTATTGGTTAGTTGTCCAGAAAAGCCGATTAGGTAGACCGACCACAGAGATGTGAAAATCGGCGAGAAAACTAACTATTAAAAGAATCAAACAAACGAATTAAGTATATTTATATTATACCTGTGAGTTTATAACTATTTCTGTAAATCTCTCGTAATGTACAGCCACTTGATTTAGAGGCTCCTTTCTATAAATAGTAATGGCCAGTTGAACACCAAAAAGTGGAATAAGAACAAATGTTGCTTTCAAGGCACGACTGAAATACAAACAGTGAAATAATAATTGACAAAGGTGTCGTAATAAGCATAATTCTTTAAGGGCTTTCATGTTTTAATGTGGAACACTGATTCAGACGGAGCTAGGTTGCGTAGTAGATAGTTTGCTCTAAGCTCTGCCGTCAATCATGATCCCCATTCAAACTAAGCTAGCAACATTTGTAATCCTGCCTTAGTGGCGTTTTAAGGTATTCAATTGTTCACTATCATGAAAAAACAACAATTAGTAACATGTATCTCTATCATTGAATCAAGGAACGCTTTAAATTAAAAGCGTTGTTCTAAAGCAAATAAATTGAAATTTTGCTAACTAGATATCTATGACTTTAAATGATATATATTGCATTTATTAAACAAGACATATATTGCTAACTAGATATCTATGATTTTAAATAATACATATTGCAGTTATTAAACAAGACATAAAGCGTGCATAATTTTTCTAAGTAAACGACGAAAACATTTTGATATTTAAATGCCTTTTGTGAAGAAATTGCACACAGAATCTTTCAAGACAAATATTACAATCCTAGCAATAATTTAAGCTTATTCCAGACTTTTACAATGTTATTTCTTACCATTGCGATTATAAATATAGGTTTTGCAAATTAAAAAAAGTTACCGGAAATTACTCGGTTCATTTGGGTGTGCCTGAAGCTGTGTTAACAAAATTCGAAGAATACTACACAAGAAGAAAATGTTGATCTGAAATAAACAATGGTAAAATTAATGCAAAGGAAGATCGTTTTGTTAACGGTTTTAATAATTTTCTAGTTATCCTGTTTAATCGAGCTTGACACGAGTTTCGAATATAATATACCTAACTCAAAATAACCCTAACGGCAACATTATTTTAAGGTCTATGAAAACAATACACACATTTAAATATAACAATGAGCGTTCTCTATCAACATGAAACGCTATATATTTTTAAATTAAGATTTCAATAGCATTTAATAGTAAAATTTAGTCATTTAAAACTCATTGTGCTTCAGACGATATTGACAAACAGAAGGTTACCGAGTTTGAAACAAAAATATGACTCAGACTTAAATTATAAAAAAAACATGTTACATTACATTATTTAATCAAACTCCATATTTATGTTAATCTAATTAATAAGCAATTCTGGTGGAATGGCATAGATAATCTCACATGTTTGACAGATGCAACAATGAAAAAAAACTTTTAGTTTTCCCCGACGTTCGGCGGGTTTCGGACATTTACGAACGGAATACGCAGAAGACGTTCGCCATTATGTTGTACATATAACTATATATAGCACAAACTAGTAAATGAATACAAAGTATTGAATACGGATACAGACTTTCTTATTTCTGCAGTCGAAGATTATTGTATATTCACCAGATACCTGGTACGTATATATGTATAATAAATAATGTAGAAGGTGAATTACTGTAAGGCAAGCCAAGTTTGGTGCGTATATGATATACTCCTTGTCCCCAATACTGATAGCCCAGCAACTGTAACATAATTGTGTTATTACAGGAATTAATGAAACATATAAAATAATTGATATATAGATTAGTCGAACATTTTATTTCATATCTTTAAATAAAATTATCTAATGTTTGCTGTGTTTATTTTGGCATTGATAAATGTCAGTTAAAAGTGATTTCTCTCGCCAGTTTTCAACAACATGCTCATGTCATTGATGCATTACTTACTTTAAGGTAATTATCATATATACATGTCTAGATAATATAGAATAAAGGGTACGTCTTGGGACATTTTCGAACACTTGGAACTACCTGCTTATAATTCAAGAATTTTTTTCACAACCGATACCACACGGAAACAATATTAAAATAAATAAAAGTTTTATATTTTGCAATTATATTAAAATGTGACCATAAAAATATTGCTGCCTCATACAGTGTTCTCAGTTAGCTTGAAAATAACAACAACAAAAAAAAACAGAACAGAAAACAACGCAAACCTTTCATTTGCGGACACAACTCTAATTACTGCGTACGCCCCGCAAAACAGTAACGGAATACCTAGAATTTAAATATACATATACAAATACAAACTTAATGTTAGAAAATATGATAAAATCAAATTCATCTATATGCGGCAGTTCACTATCTAACTCATACTAATCTAATGCGTTAATATGTTACGAATTAGACTAAAATACCACACATAAACATTTACATATCATATACATCGCAATTCCTTGCTCAATGTCAAAGACATTGTTTATGCTATCAAATGTCCATTTCCCGATAAATTATTGTGATCCTCACCCAATGTCATGCCTAAATCTTACTATCTTTTATCATGTCAAATGTCATAATTTCTATATCGTGCAGTTCCAGACAATTTATGTTCCTATAAATAAACCTTTTATCTTTCCTTAACAAGTTCAGAGAGTAGTGTATCTTAAATAGAAGGTCACAGAACTCTTAAGGGCACATAAAATCTCAGAAAGAAATATTATATTCTTTTTGTAAAAGGGAAAACGTGTACAGTAGTAATTATAGATTAGGAATATTCTTTACTTTTTATCATCTGCTGTAAATTATGCCGAATGTAAATTTCTGATACAGGTTGCAAATTGTAAACAAAGTGGTATTTAGACTTTCATACAAAATACTTTATAACTATAACTGTATCAATTGTCAAAAGCAAAGTTCACCTATATAGTCAATGAGTAACACTTTCTTAACTTTAACTAGACATCAAACAAAAATAAATTGTTTTTTTTTTTAAATAAAAAGATAAATCTGTTTTTTTTGGCTTAATGTGCCTTTAATATTCGTCATTAAAGTTATAAACTATTTTACTCACCCCAACCTGCTAAATATATAAACAGAAGTCTCTTTGGTGGAGAGAAAGCATTTGATATCAGTCGATAAAGATAAAACCCTTCACAGAACATCCACGAATAGTTTGTGCTTGAAAAATACAGCTTCAAGAAAGACAACAATTTGCAAGTGGCCTGAAGAATAAAAATCATGCTTGGTTATATGCTTATAATTTAACATGCGTGTTATGTTTTGGTAGATAACGAGTTAATTTTTCTAGGCATAGTAACGAAGTAAAATCTTACTATTAATCAAGTGACAATGTTTTAGTTTTGAAAAAGGAACAGAACAAGGGATGAAAATCATAAACTTATACAAGTTGCAATAGTATATTAAAGTTTTGTACATATACATAGATATATCGTAGACGAATCCTTATTTACTTTGATCTGATAATTTATCCATTAAATAAATTTAATTATATGATATAATACAATTAAAAGATAAAGTTATGAACATATCCGTATATACTGTTTTTCCGAATAATAATTGTTAGGTATCAGAATTTGACGAGGTTACAGGAGATGTTTGATATCGCTTTGTTTGGTGAAATAAAGTTAATGGCTTTGATACTACATGTATAACAATAAAATTCCTACATATTTCAGGTTCAGTTTATAAATATTTTTGTGACAAAGAAAAGGTTAAGTTTTATTTTGCAAAATATTCATTAACTACAGTTCTAAAATATGTTCTTTCTTACTGTATTCCTATGCATCAGTGTGTCTTTCATATGGCGGTTGGTAATTTTGTCGTATGTTACAAAGAGATTCCACATAAGACCAAGTGCGTTACATATGATGAATGAAATAAAAAAGTTGATATGAATTCGGATTCTGTGTTGCCGTCTAAGATTTCTGTAAAATAGATAACAAACGTGCATTAATAGCCCCTTTTTCAGAGACTGTTGTAAACGCATTGCAATTACTAGTGTGACAATTTTTCATTGGCGCTATAGAGTCTTAAAATCATAAGAATGAAATGCAATTCAAAAAGAGATTTCACGGAATACAATAAAAATAATTTTAATTTAAAACAAAAATGCAGAGTTCGGTTTGTTTCCATGGAAAGAAAGTTGATTATTTTCTTACGAATCTATTCGTACAAAATTTTTATTCCATTCTAATGAATGAATTTAAAGAGATTAAAATATGTGGTGTATAACATAACCTGAAAACAGGAATGAATGCTCATTTATGTAAGCCCAGGCGTGAATAAATTGTGTTTTGTGGGATTTAAGGTTTAAAATAGTGGGGACAATTTTACTTTAAATAAACCCTATTTTGGACAAAATTTTTGAAAATGTATTTAACTTACCCAATTTTAATTTACTTAAAAAATAAATGGTCCAAATTGATACACTTCTAAGTAAAAATTTTGATATTTAATAACAACTGAAAAAGTCTTATAAAAAATTTTTCTTACAAAAAATTTAAAATTGAATAAAAGGACAATTCGCTTTAAATCATAACTACCAGTTAAAACAAAGCTTACTTATTTGAACCGATTAAAGATTGAATAAAATTAATGTAAAGCTGTTTCCAGATTCACCTTTTCAGATTCATGAAATCAATTACCCTTTGAAATAGGTTTGTTATTTTTCATTACACAAATAAAAGGGCAAAATTCATTAAGCAGTATTAGACAATTAGTAGCAATGACTTTATTATCTAAATTTAAGTTACACTTAAGGTTTTATGACTACTTTTCAGCTGTTCTGTTGAAAATAGACGTCAGATACCAATAAGTACATTATTTCAGACAGGGGATAAAATCCGAGTAGAACCACTGATTTAACCCATAACCTTACTGGATGGCTACTTCACATGGAAGAGCCTGAAGTTCAAGGTGGGCTTTGAAGCCACAGCGGTGATGGACTCTTGTAAATAATAAATTGTGTAATTCATTACGTTTATAAGGCATATATTGTAGATATTACAGAACACTTACTTATACAAGAGGAATATGATAACAGATGGGACCAATAGTAGTAAACTTGCTACCTGACAGCCAACTGATATGTAAATAGTAACACGTATCTCCTGAAAAAATGAACACTTCTGTTAGAATAAGAACTACAGTATGCACATTCCTAAAATTAGTGACAAAGGGACACATTATTTTTTAAAAAACACAATATTATAAATTATTCCTACTATTTATAGATATTACATGAATGAGCTTACACAAATATATGTAATATTTGACATCCCTCATAAATTAAACTGAATGTTAACCTGAGAAATAAAACGGAATCCCTAAATAACGCCCCAAAAGATAAAATGTTGTACACTCGGTTTGACTGATATATAAAGTTATACGATTGTGACAAGTAAAACGTTGTACTGCACAAACACATATTGTAGAGGAAATGCAAATACATGTTGTACAGTATTTGTTGTCATGGAGTTTTATGAAAATAAATATTTCACGACTGAAGTCAGTGGCACCTTTTCCAATGATTGTATATGTAGGTTATTAAATGGAAATACGAAATAAAATCACTATAACATCAATATCAAAGCTAAAGGTAAAATATATAAAATAAAATATTGGCTGAGTATTTAAAGTATCGGACTTTAAATCGGATCATCGCTTACTGCATGGGTTCTAACCCCATTCATGAACAGACCGTCGTTTCCTTTAGCACAAACCATTACACTTATTGCTCAGTACTGGTTGGTACCAGGAACGAATTCCACAAATCTACAAGCTTATAACTTCATATGCAACAAATCTTTCTGTTAAAACGTAAGAAAATCTGTCAATGTTGATAGTGCAAAATCTCTTTCTTTGTCGTTTTACAAAGCTTGATATGATATTATATAGATTTTATGTAATACAATTCTTAATCTACGTTCAATTTCATAAAACATATCATAAGTATACTAATACACAGATTTATAAATTAATAGTTTACATCATTGCTCATAAATAGGACATTTGCACCCTTGTTTTGCCATTTTCTGACGTAATTATATTTAAATGTATAGATAGAAAAAATGTAGTGAAAATGATTTGTCGTTATACTAAAACAAAACAAGCTCAAATGCTCTAACAATATACCGGTTTGGTAAATTAATTTGCCTCTTTAATAGTATAAGATAATTCATTTGCCAATGTTTTGCGAGGCTGTTTTAGCTTCTTTTGTGTATAAATCATTTGTAAAATCAGTTACAGTGTGTTTGTAAATTTGTACAAAACATGATGTTCTTGAATTTCATTTCTTGAATAAAATATATGGAGATCAGGTGCTCTTATTACAATCACAATTTATCGGAGGAGTACGCAGCTGTCAGTCCGTAATTGCACGAGGCGCTAGCGAAATTAAAAGTAACATGGGCAATGCAATGTATGCACACATTCTTTTGAAGTGTAAACAACATTCTTTGTATTAATGAAATGAATGCATGTGATTAATTTCCAATTAAAAAATAAAATAGAAAATTAAAGTCTTTGTTTTCAGTAACATTATTAACACATGGGTTAAACAATTATTTATTTATCTTGTTTTGAAATGCTATAATAATTATAAAACCTTTAATTAAAAATAAACAAAGACGAGTGCGGCTGACTCACTCAAAAGTAAAATGGTTTAAATGAACGAAAAACAGTGCAATTCGATAACTCGGAAATTAACAAAAAATAACAACCAGATAATTAATAGCTAGGTTACTGCAAATATATTTTAAGTAGATCCTAAAAGCCTCGAAACATAAGAAACATTAAATTTGAAATTGATAAAGAGATCTACTGGGTCATTTAAAATGTTATGTATGCAAACGATAATTGACAATCAATGTTTTGTGCGATCCTCAACCCCATTGATTTAAAGGCGTTTAATTGTTTGTATATATGTTTCTGTGAACGACTGAAATGATAATTTAAATTGTTATACAATTCTGGAAAGTAGAACCCCGCGAGTCGGATGTGTCGCCTTGTGAACAATATAGTTTAGGAGAATTCATGGCCAGAACAAAAATGAAGAAAATAAAGAAGTGCAGAGTACCGGTTCTTGTACACTGCATTTTTTAATGAGATCTATCATCCAATAGTGTTTAAAGTCCATAGCTTTTATACTTTAGGAGAAATGGCCTGGACAAAAATAAAGTATGGAAATTAACAAAGGGAGATAACTCAAAAAGTAAGAAATGGAGAGTATCGGTTCTTGTGCACTGCACTTTTTCTTAATTAGATCTATCATCCTATGAAGTTTCAAGTCCATAGCTTTTATACCTTAGGAGAAATGGCCTGGACTAAAATAAAGTATGAAAATTAACAAAGGGCAATAACTCAAAAAATAAAAAAATGCGGAGTACCGGTTCTTATGCCCTGCACTTCTTATTAGTGAGATCTATCATCATATGAAGTTTCAAGTCCATAGCTTTTATTCTTTAGGAGAAATAGCCTGGACAAATATAAAGTATGAAAATTAACAAATGGCAATAACTAAAAAATTAAGAAGTGCAAAGTACCGGTTCTTGTGCACTGCATTTCAGGTCATTAAAACAAACATGCATACCAAGTTTGAAGTCAACCCGACTGATAATTACTTACTTATGATCCGGACAAGCTTAAGGGGACGCGGCCGACGCCGACACCGAAACAGACGCCGACGCCGACAACGAGACCGCCGACAAAAGTTACCCCTATATATCGCAATTTTCAAGGCGAAACAAAAATAATACCTGTCTCGTCTATGAAACACCCTAAGTAGAGTTATTCAATTAACGAAACTAACAAAAATACTAAAACTGTGATGCAGTCAAATTACTACAAGTAAAAAGTAAAATTTATTTAATTGATCAAAATTATTAAAATCAGAACTGGAGCCAGGACACAACCGCAAAGTAAAGTCCTTAAAGCGAACAAAAACTGTAGCCAGCTAGATGCAAAGTAAAATATTTGAAGAAAAAACGAAACAAAAAAATCGGTTCTTAGCTAGGAAAAAAAATTCTCAAAAGAGACGAAAATAGTTGAATCAATACAGCAGTCAGGAAATAATTTCAAAGAAAAGTTCCTTAATGGAACAAAAACTGCAACCAGCTAGCAGCGAAGATAAATGGAAAAAATAAAATCAGTACTTTAAAGCAGCACGCCTCCAGATTCATGCTAATTTTCATGAAAATTTTGAAAATGTATTTGAATGTGTAATATTGTGAAGTAACCAAAAGAAAGCAATTTACACAGTATCAATGGCACTTACAAACCACGCAAATAACCGAAAAGTGATCAAAATATGCATAAATAGCCTTTGCTGTGTTAGTAACGCCGAAGAAATAGAGTTGTAAATACTGAAAAATCTGTAATTGATCACTCATTATATGTAATATTACTTGAATCTTGGACCTTTTTACTTTTCCTTACATCTTAGTACATTTTTGTCAAGTTTGATTTCATTGAAATATTTTGACTCATCTGGAGGCATTTAATTTTAATCAGGTAACAGTAAAGTAGGTTTTTTTAAATAAACGAACATTATGTACAATATACAAATATTACAAATACCTTTACAATGATTAAAATAATTACAGTAATAGAGCCATTGATCTTGAAATTATGTGATAGTACATGTCACTGAATGCACATATAACATAAATACCTTGTGCATAAGACAAGAAGTACAATCCGTCCATTCACGTCCATCTTTTGTAAACTATGTACCATTTTCACGACAGTGTTTTACAGCCATTTCTGTAAAAAGAAAATTGCTTGATAATAAGCTAACAGTGCATCTATCTGTCTGATTCAAACTAACATGTGGTAATAGTAAATATATATCTTTGTTTGAAAATTTAACGTATTTTTACAGTGTATTCCTTTGCCAAGTATGTATTGTTTTAAAGATTGAATGTATGTCATGTAATTTTGCCGGAGAATGTTATGTTTTAAGGTTCTAATGGCATTTTTGGTATCCAATGACTTTCTTTATAACAAATCATTTCCTGAATTTTGATATGTCTAGATTTACATTATAGTTCTTTATCAACAAAAACTGTTCATTTTGTATTCTTTTTTCCTTAAGTATTAGAAATTGCATGATTTTATATCAACTGATAAAAAAGAAGAATAGTTTTTTAAACATATCTTTCTTTAATCACAGAATATGCTACCTGTGAGAATGACAAACTATCTCGCTAACATTAATTTTATTTGCTTTATTTGCAGTAAGATCTTTTCATCACCTTTTAACAAAATAAACAAAAGCGACAGAAATTATGGATGCAGAAATCAATAAGCGTGGTCAATGATTCTTGTGTATGCAACAATGCATGAACATAATCATCGTGGTAGTATATCATTTTCATATTCCTCATATTTGTCATCAATTGCTCCTGCATAAACCATTAACCTGTAGATACTGAAAGTAATATCCTCACCACGAATTTGGGACCAGGTCAGACAGAATGTCATTGCAGTCTGACAAGGCCCGATTCTGTAGGTAGCTATTTTTCTGCACTAAGGTATTAAAATCTCGTTAATTTCAAATGGACTGTTCCCCATTTTAACAGGGAATGCCATGAAATCATTAGTTAATTATCTTATGAATCACATTGATTATAGAAAACACGATAGAGTCAGAAAAATGGCTTAAAAGTGGCATTTTATATTAATTTTGCCACTAAAACTTTCAATAGTCATAACGCTTATTATAACATAACTTTATGTAGAAATATCTAATATCGCTTTACTTAATGTTTACAAATAGGAACGAATTAAAGTACTCGTAAGTCATAATCGGGGACAATCAATCTACTATCCATTTGTTTCACAACACTGATAATGAATAATTTATTCATAAATCATAATTTATATAAACACATATAGAAATAATATGGGATTACTTGTGGAGTAATTGATAATTACAAAGTAGATATTACCAAACCGTGTTGAAGCGACCGGCCTCTAGATTCAAGATAATAAGTAAAATTAGCCCTTACTGCGTTGGTAGAAGAACCGGTATATTTATTAATGCTGCAAGATCAGATCTTAACGGAACAAAACTAAAGTCATGTAAATAATTACTTGAACCTTTAA